TTAGTAAGATGGAAAAGCATATACGATAAGAATGTAGACTATTTCATTTAATAAATGTTTTGTTTTGATATATAAGTTGTTTGGGGTTTTTTCATCTGAAAAAATCGACATTAATTTCTTGACGAAATATTTAAGTTCACAAGTGAACAAATAGTGTAAAGGATAGTGGGACACAGGCTTTAATTTATAGTATAGTTCATTATTGTTAGTTAGTAATTTATATAAATAATTGTGTTACATTTTAACTTGGGAACATTATGTGTGTGTGTGAATATTTTAGTTTTATATGCTAGCCCATGTTACAGAGAGGAGAACATACACTATTAATAATGGCTGGAGACGGCTTAAATGGGTAATAAAGAATTACCCATTAAATTACCCATTTAAGCCGTCTCCAGCCATTATTAATCTCAAAGTGGGTTCCTCGTCACCGAACATACACTATTATTTATAAAAGTCTTTGTCATTCTTGCTAGTCACATAAACACACGATTACTTGCCCTATATTCTACAATAGTGCCTTGTTGTTTTTCCGTTAACTGTCAAGATTTAAAGTAAAGATTCGTTCCTTTTGTAACTCTATATGTTCTGTCTCATTCTGTGCGACCCAACCGTCGCGCCCGTCGGGAGACATACCCACCTACGAGATCCGCGAACCCGCTCTTTTTGTCTGCCTCGATTTCTTTGCTTTGCTGGGAATCCTCGAGTTACCACAACAACATGTTAATTCTACGGTAGGCATTTATGATAATATAACAAGGAGTGCTGAGAGATCTCCGGATCTCTGTTCGCCCCACCTGTGGTTTATGGGTTACTTTGAAATGGAGAAAAACAATAACAACAATAAAAAAAAACAACACATAAACTTTTAGTATTGTTAAATTGATATATGAATTATTGTTCTCACTGGGGTACGTGAGTGATGATGGAAAGATTTGAATGATACTTCATGATCACTTCTCAATCAATCAAACAAATGGCTCGTATAAGACTTATGGTCCTTCAGTACTTGTAAATCCTATGCCTAGGCTGAGATCAATAAATCTAACACCGGAGAATTAGTTGTGGGGAGAAATAAGACTACCCCAAGAAAACCCACTTTTACTGATCAGGCCGCCAAAACGAACCTTCTTCTTCATAGAGATTCGGTCCATGTTTTGAACCAGGGAGGGTCAGGTTCAGCCTTGATCTCTTCCCCCCTCTCATACCCTTTTCGTGCCATGTCCAATTCATGGGATAATGTTGACTTGTATGTTTTCACTATCTTCTCTTATGTATGATCACACTATTAGTCCGTGTTCACAATACAGTTCCGTTTAACAGTCATATATATATATATATACACACACACACACACATAATCCTATTTTTACATACAAAACCCTTTTAAGCTTTCGTTTGGTTTGTATCTAGCATGTAGTATGCTGCCCTCTAGTGTAATATTATTATAATCAAGACATTTAATTCAGTGTAACTATATTATATTGTTGACTGTTAAAGTTTTAACATACAACTTTAACAGTCAGCTATAAAATATAACTGTATCTCTTAAACAACACAATCGTTCAATTGAATATTGGTCAGTTCTTCCTTAATACTGTTTAATTTTTTACATTTGGTTTCTCCATTTATTTACAAAATATAAGAATATGTTTAATTAAAATGTTTAGTTGTTATATTTAGAATAAAAATAAAAATGATTATTAAAGTTTAAGTCACCTATAAATAAGAAACGAGAACAAGCTAAATATTAATTATACTTTAAACCCATTTTATTACATTCGTCACAATGTTAACAATTATTCGAAGTAGTTAGGTTACTGAAGAAAAGAAGAATCAAAACAGATAGTGGCTTTTTAAAAATGTTATCTTACCCCTGGTTGGTCCAGAGTAATCTTTACCTATGTTTACGCCTCTAGAGATAAAAATTTACTGGAGTGGAGACGCATCCGGTTTTAGCGTCATTTCTTGTCCCCATATTACGTAGGGAAACGTTTTTTTTTGTACGTTTTGTAAAAATCTTGCCTCTGACGTTACATGAGTTCTTTTATATTTTGTTTTTTCGTGTGAGTCATGTTTTTTTTTAAACTGTTAAAATCCAACTGTAACTATCAACTAATCATGAGAAGATTTAAGTGTAATTTATGCGGATATTATTAGTTGATATCAGAGAATTCGTCTAATATCGCCGAGTCAGCATGTTCCGAATTACCGTGAAGTCATCCCAATACCGTATTGAATACGAAGCTATCCCAGTCAGATTTAATAATTGAAAATATTTAATTATACTCATCATGAATAACCCCACTGAAAATACTAATCATACTCATGGGAAAGTAGCGTGTCAATGAATAGGTCTATGCACATGATATTTATTGATTTATGTTGTCTGGTTATGGTTATAAGTCTGAATACCAGCCCTATATTGCCAAGATGTATAACATCCAGTTGCATCAATAAGACAGAAGCTCACCAAACTGGTTCTTTTTCAAGGACAGTAATACTTTAGTGTCATATTACCTGTCTGTTTCGCGACGTCTAGAGTATCGTTACCTGCCATGTTACCTGCCTGTGCTGCTAACTTGCATGAACTGAATTTAATCAAGTGTACTAAAAGAAATTCATATAATATTTTTGATACAATCACACTGAGATTCGTAAAATGTTTCATGAAAAATGTTGATGAAGTTAATGAGCGGGGACGGATGGGGCGCAAGAGTTGGTGAATGGAAAATATTGGGGAGGAGAAAGGAATTTGTCCTGCTCCAGAGCAAGGAAGTGATGGCGATGTTTGTTTGTTTGTTGTTTTGAATTTCGCGCAAAGCTACACGAGGGCTATCTGCGCTAGCCATCCCCAATTTAGCAGTGTAAGACTAGAGGGAAGGCAGCTAGTCATCACCACCCACCGACAACTCTTGGGCTACTCTTTTACCAACGAATAGTGGGATTGACCGTCACATTATAACTCCCCCATGGCTGAAATGGCGAGCATGTTTGGTGTGACTGGGATTAAAACTCGCGACCCTCAGATTGCGAGTCGAGTGCCCTAGCCACCTGGCCATGCCGGGCCCAATGGCGATGATCTGGTACTAAATTAATTTATCATTATGTTACGTATCTGCTTGTTTGTTAATTTTCAGTAGAAATTATTTCAGAGGAACTTCAGCGATACAAGTCCTTTCTTCATTTAAAGCAGTTTATTATTTCTCGATAGAAATTTTTAGTGCACAGTAATTCCACAGTCAGTACGTTTCTCGTCACTTTAAACTTAACAACTTTT